GAGTCCACACATCACTCCCTGATGGCCCTGGCCCCATCTCTGCCTCCGACGCAGAGCCCTCATCCGGGCCTTCCCCAGCCTCCCGGTCTGGCCCCTGTTTTTCCTCAGCCTCCTCGCTGTCTGACTCCGCTGCCAGCTCCTCCGGCTGCTGGCGGACCACAATACAGGGCAGCGCGGGGGAGGGGATTGCATGCACATGGGCAGGGGGGGCGGGATGTGCTGGGGGGGGCATTGTATTATGGGTGTGGGCACGCGCGCTTTTGGCACTCAAGGAAAAAAAAGTTAGCCATTACTGCCAGGGGTGGGTTCTAAATTTTTTTACTACCGGTTCTGTGGGCGTGGCTTATTTTGTGGGCGTGGCTTGGAGGTCATGTGACTAGGCGGGCGTGGCTAGCTGGTCAGAGTCATTTCTGGAAGGTCCTCGCACTTACGACCAGTCCTCGCACTTACGACCCGACTCATTTGTTTGCTTTTAGCACTGATCAGCTGTAGGGCAGCCCTTTGAAGCCCCGCGGCAAGAGTTTAAACAGTTTTTTTTCCCTCCAGTCATCAGCTGGGACTCAGGAGGCAGCAATAGATTGGGGGTGGGGCCAAATAAAAGGTAAGAACGTGGGGGGGTGGGAGGGCGGGGGGAGAACCGGTTCGGTGACGCCATATCGTCACCGCTACAGGCTCGGCCGAACCGGACCGAACCGGGAGGGACCCACCACTGGTCAGCAACCTTAAACACTCAGAGAGCCATTTGGACCCGTTTTCCACAGAAAAAAAAAAACACCGGGAGCCACAAAACTCTTCCCATGCCTGACTATTTCCTGAGCGGCCCCAAAACTAGCATATATAGTTGAATTAAACTTTCTGTTTTCTTCTGAAACTTTTCTTTTCTTGGACTTATCCATGGTTGGCCTACTGGGGGTCGAAAAGCTCAATAAATTGCGTGCCGGCGGGTGTCGCACACTGGCAGTTGTGACACATATTTTGAGCGACAGGGAGCCACAGCAAAGGGATGAAAGAGCCACATGCGGCTCCAGAGCCGCAGGTTGCCGACCACTGCTTTAAGTGATGGCTTCGTCTGCATCTTCTTGTCCCTGGTTTCTTTCTACCTCAACAATCAATTTATCAGATTTTTAATTGCTGGTGAATTCAGTGGGTTTCTAATTGTCGGGCCTCCCTTGCAGGTTTTGGGGTTTCACCCCGCGTATCGTTTAGCACGTAAAGGTATGGAAATCAAGGGTGTGCCAAGGCTACCCAGAAGAATGAGAGTTGGTGACAGGGATACTCCTGAACGTATCTTAGGTGTAATTAGTTATCAAGATTCGGGAGCCTCCCCAGAGAGATGCAGTCGTGCGAAACACACCCAGCAAAGCTGCCTGCGTGGTTGACACTGCGTGGTTGAATAGTTTTACGTCTTACCTGCAGGTGGTCCTCGACTTACAACCACAAGAGGTGGAAACCCTTTGAGAGATGTATGCAACGAAATCTCATTTTAATGTACGCCCATCAGTGTACATTCAAAGTCAGAATAAAGTTATACGAAGTTCTAATTGGGAATAGCATTTCCAAGGGGGCTGCTAAATAAGTCATGCCCGAGTTTACAACCTCTTTTGCAACGGTTGTTAAGCGAATCCCTGCACTTGTTTAATGAGTCACACAATCACACAACTGTTAGTGAGTCACACAATCGTTAAGTGCAGTGGTGGGATTCAAATAATTTAACAACCGGTTCTCTGTCGTCATGATTGGCTGGGTGGGCGTGGCCATGGTGGGCGTGGCCATGGTAGCATTCGGCCTTCTGCACCCCCCTGGGAACAAAAACAGGCCGTGGGGGCGCTGCCCCCCTGCGCCCCATTTTGTGCCTAGTAGGCCTCCCTGCACTTACCTGGGAGCCAAAATGTGGCACGTAGGGACTTCCGGAAGGCGGGGTGGGGAGGGGCGGAGACAGCCAGCAATTTAACTACCGGTTTGCCCGAACCGGCCCGATCCGGCTGAATCCCACCACTGGTTAAGTGATTAAGTGATTTAGTGGTTAAGTGGTTAAGTTAACCTTCCCCCACTGATTTTGCTTATATTAGAAGCCAGCTGAGAAGGTTATCAGATGGTGATCACATAACCCCAGGCCATTGTAAATATGTGCCAGTTGCCAAGACCCCAAATTTGATGACATGGCTGTGGGGATGCTGCAATGGTCGTAAGTGCGAGTACCGGTTAAAAGCTACTGTTTTCAGCACTGTTGTAACTTCCCAATGCTTGCAAGTCAATGATTGCCTATATCAGGACGATCAAATCCGGGCTGCAATAATCGGGATGACAGCTAGATGGCAGCAAAGAGATGCCCAAAAGCCTAACCACTTTGCTGCCCTCTGACGGTCACCAGAGGTTGTGCAAGACCACATCTGATTATTTATTAGTTTGATTTATTAGTTTGATTTATCATTATCCATCATATATGTCAGCTGCTTTTTCTGATCATGATTATGTCTTCTCTGTAGAATTAAGGACTCCTTACGAGTAGGGGCTATATTGAAATGATTTATTCATTTATATATTAAGAAAATTTATATAGTTGTCCAACTCACATAGAAGTGCGTCCAAGACTTCTTGGATGACAAGCGAAACGTCTTCAGAGAACAACAAGAAAGTGCAGCTGCCTCTTGAAATAAGCACCTTTGGGACAACTGTGACCTGGATGACGGAGAATCTTCATAGACATTTGGATTTTCTTGGGTTTTTTCCTTGAAAAAGTTTTGCTTCTCATCCAAGAAGCTTCTTCCGTTCTAACTGACTGGCGGGGAATGGAAGGATTTATATTCTTTTGCGCGATGAACTGCAGTTTTAAAAGGAGGGAAATGTACCAAATTACGTGGGCATTTACTCTGTTCAGAATGGAATAGAATAGAATAGGAGAGTTGGAAGGGACCTTGGAGGTCTTCTAGTCCAACCCCCTGCTTAGGCAGGAAACCCTATACTATTTCAGACAAATGGTTGTCCAATCTTTTTTTAAAAAACTTCATGTTGGAGCATTTACAACTTCTGGTGGCAAGTCGTTCCACTGGTTAATTGTTCTGTCAGGAAATTTCTCCTTAATTCCAGGTTGTTTCTCTCCTTGATTAGTTTCCGCCCATTGCTTCTTGTCCTGCCCTCAGGTGCTTTGGAGAAGAGCTTGACTCCCTCTTCTTTGGGGCAGCCCCTGAGATATTGGAAGGCTGCTATCATGTCTCCCCTAGTCCTTCTCTTCATCAAACTAGACATACCCAGTTCCTGCAACTGTTCTTCATATATTTTAGCCTCCAGTCCCCTAATCCTCTTTTTTTTTTAAAAAAAAATATTTATTTCTTTACAACAAAATATTTACTCACACATAGATCGCGACGGGAGCTTTACAAAATAAATTAACTTCAGTCAAGATATACAAATAAAAAATAAAATCTACACTAACCTTATCCTTTTTTTATTCTATTATTCAACCAAGTATACCATTGGTCCCAGCATTGAAAATATACGGAGTCCTTTTGATCTCTCAAAATTTTTGTTAACCTGTCAGCTTCCACATATTAGATAATTTTTCCCAGAATCAAATCTTCACCGGTAGGTCTTTCCCCTTCCAATGTTGAGCAAAACATATTCTTGTTGCGGTTGTGATATATGTAATCAGACACCATATATTCGTGCCTATCTTATCTGGCCTAATATTTAATAGATAGTATTCTGGTTTCAATTGTAATTTATATCCCGTGATTTCTAATATCCACCTCTGTATAGATCTCCAAAATTCGATTGCCTTAGGGCAGGTCCACCATACATGATAATAAGTACCTATCTCCCCACACTTCCAACAATTTGGGGAGAGTCCTGGGAACATTTTGGCTAATCGAGCAGGAGGGAGATGCCATCTATACACCATCTTATACAGTCCCCTAATCATCTTTGTTGCTCTTCTCTGCGCTCTTTCTAGAGTCTCCACATCTTTTTTACATCGTGGCGACCAAAACTGGACGCATTATTCCAAGTGTGGCCTTACCAAGGCCTTGTAAAGCGGTATTAACACTTCACGTGATCTTGATTCTCTCCCTCTGTTGATGCAGCCCAGAACTGTGTTGGCTTTTTTGGCAGCTGCATCACACGGCTGGCTCATATCTCAATGGTTGTCCACTAGGACTCCCAAGATCCTTCTCACAGTTACTACTGTTGAGTAAGGTACCATCTATACGGTACCTGTGCATTTTGTTTTTCTTGCCTAAGTGTAGAACCTTCCTTTTTTCACCCTTGAAATTTCGTTTTGTTAGATGGCGTCTGTTAAGGTTATTGTTGTTGTATTACCAACCAGCAGAGTAGATTGCACAGAGAAACGTTGCTGAGAGCAATGAATAAGAGATAAGCAAACTGGTTTATCAAAAGCTTACTTTATAGTAGAAAAACAGTCTCATAGTCTTTAAACAAATTCCAAGTCTTTGCCAGTAAATCAGTCCAGTAGTTACAGAATCTTCTTACCCAACAAACAGTAGTTGGTTAGAATAACAAACTCACTCTGGTTCACAAACCACGATGGTTGCAGATCCATCAAACAATGATTACAGATAACACCTCCTCTCAATGGTAGCTTATCATCACAGCTTCATACACAATGGCAGCATAGCATTGCAGCTTCCTCTCAACAGCAGATCATAGCAGCAACTGAACACGTTACAGAACCTTGCTTAAATATTCTTACAACCAGTAATTATGTAATTACAGCATGACTCAGCATTAAAGCCACATAATACAGTTACAGCTTAAAGTTACAGTATACTTATATTGCCTGTACAACATAGTTAGGCTCAAACCATATCCTAACAGCGTCCAGTGTTAACATGCAATATTTTTCAGACTCTGAACTCAGCGTAAGGTTGAAGTAGGGGAACCTTCAGCAGTGGATGAAGACGGCTATTTTCATGTTCGGGAAGCAATTGTCCTACTCAGCAGCTCGAGACTGAAAAATGCTTTGTTTCGATTCTTCCCCCATGCAGACAAGCGAGGCTTCGTCAGGCCCAGAAACAACTCTGAGTCAACTCGGGCCCCCCCAAATGTGGACAGAAGGCGGCAGCTTTCGGAATCCCAGGCTGTTACTGTGAGCAGCTTGGATTGCAAAATGAACCTCCGTCCTCAAGGAACTGCTAAAGGTAAGATCCATGCAGCGCAATAGTGTTTTTTTCCTTTTTTTAAAAAAAAAAATCCTCAGACACTGATAAAAATATAAGTTGGACTCTTTGGATAACATGAGTAGGGCTGTGTTGGATCCCGGAATCCACATTCTATTCTAACCCGGCCTTTTTGATTTTGCTATTTTATTCAAGCGGCTCAGCATAAGAGTTTTAAAAAAAAGGAAGAAATGAGCTATTTTCTATGATGTCCCACCTTGTTCCAATTGTTCTCTTTATTTGGGTTTCTTTAGTCTGGTCAGAAATACGTTCCTCAATATATAATCAATTATCAATTGATTAGAGAGAAAACTGAACAGAGGGTTTAACTAACTAATGCATTTTTAAAAAAAAAATAAGGATAAGTGAAGACGATGGCGAATAGGATCTGAGAACAATAGTCGTAATTATTGTGTGTATAAGATTTACTATCTGTACTTAAAAGAGATTGCACCCAGACTTGTGAATATAGTAAAGCTAAAGGTTCCCCTCGCACATATGTGCTAGTCGTTCCTGACTCTAGGGGGCGGTGCTCATCTCCGTTGAGTTGGCCGTAGTGAGTTGGCCATGGTGAGTTGACTGTGGTGAGTTGACTGTGATGAGTTGAGTTGTTCCCCAGTGAGTTGGCAGTGGTGAGGTGGCTGTGGTGAATTGCCGGTAGTGAGTTGGCCATGGTGAGTTGACTGTGACGAGTTGAGTTGTTCCCCAGTGAGTTGGCCGTGGTGAGTTGACTGTGGTGAGTTGAGTTGTTCCCCAGTGAGTTGGCTGTGGTGAGTTGGCCGTGGTGAGTTGACCGCAGTGAGTTGATCATGGTGAGTTTAATTGTCCCACAGTGAGTTGACTGTGGTGAATTGCCCGTAGTGAGTTGGCCGTAGTGAGTTGGCCATGGTGAGTTGACTGTGGCGAGTTGAGTTGTTCCCCAGTGAGTTGGCCATGGTGAGTTGACTGTGGTGAGTTGAGTTGTTCCCCAGTGAGTTGGCCGTGGTAAGTTGGCCGTGGTGAGTTGACCGCAGTGAGTTGATCATGGTGAGTTGAATTGTCCCACAGTGAGTTGACTGTGGTGAGTTGGCAGTGATGAATTGGCTGTAGTGAGTTGGCCATGGTGAGTTGACTGTGGTGAGTTGAGTTGTTCCCCAGGGAGTTGGCTGTGGTGAGGTGGCTGTGGTGAGTTGACCATGGTGAGTTTACCATGGTGAGTTGACCGCAGCGAGTTGATCATGGTGAGTTGAATTGCCCCACAGCGTGTTGGCTGTGGTGAGTTGGCCATGGTAAGCTGACTATGGCGAGTTGTCCTATTCTTCTTCCTTGATGCTCTCAGCTCGCACTGTAGCAGCCCTTGAAATGAACAACGCTGAGCCCCAGGTGCCGTTTCCGAGAGATCTCTGAGGACCTCACGTTGACTTCAACTGTCCATTAACACCACCGGGCAGTTGAGGAAGAGAGCCAAGAAGGCCTCGGATCCAGGTGGATCTAGGCCTAGTTCCAAGTTTCAGCTCCGCCAGCCAGTGTCAGCCTGACTCATAAGTTGGACCGAGGCGCCTTCTCAGAGAGGTGATCCGTTTGCACATGTCTCTTCATGCTCAGCTTGCCAACTTCGGGGCTTTGGCTGAACTTTCTCCTCAGCTGTTGGACTCCTCGTCCTTCTCTGATCTTCCGTCACCCAACCGCCCCCCCCCCCAGGGGTGGGACGCCTTCCACTGTTCTACTGAGCTAATCCAGCATTTTATGCCCTCGGAAAAGCAGCTGTTGAATGTCTTCAGCGCAGAGACGGTCCCTTTCTAGAAAGTTTCCCTCCATCTTTTAAGAAAACTGCTTGGGTTTGTTGGGGTACAATCCCAAGACTTCCTATTATTTGTTTGCTTTAATTTTTATGATGCAAGACATCTTTTAGAAACTGAATTAAAAGTTGATTTCTGGAAGGTATATAATAGGCAACATGAAAGGGGTTGTTTACTCTCAAAAGAAAAAGGGCAGCGAGAAATTCTGTACAGGTAGTCCTCAGCTTACGACTTCGCCTCACGATCAGGAGGCTGTGAGTTCGATCCTAGGTAGAGGCAGATATTTCTCTCTTTGGGCACAATTATTATTATTTATTGAATTTCTATACCGCCCTTCTCCCGAAGGACTCAGGGCGGTGAACAGAATAAGATTTCATATACATATAATAATTTATTTATTTTTTTTATAAACAGTACATAATAAATTGAGTCAACTCGGTGTATCTGCTAAGACCTTGGCATAGAATGTAGATGGTTTTTTTTTTTTTTATTGAAAAAGTTTTTCAAATACAAGTTTTTCCCCCTTTTCCTCCCTTCTTCCCCAACCCGCCCTCACCACCCATCCCCCCCTGTGACTTCTTCTTCACAACAATAAGCTAATTCATAATTAATTACATAATATTTTACCATGCCCTTACTCACTCCTCAAAGTACTGACCCTTAGCATAGTATTCTTATAACTCCGCTTTTCTCCGCTTTTCACAATCTACCCTTTTTCTCCTCCCCCAAACTTATAAAATATTATTATTATTACAACAACATAACTTTTACTTTTATATATATTAATTTAACATTTCAAAGCAGCCTTCTCCAAATTTATTCAGTTCTATCCAATTCTTCCACTCCCCAAAATATATGACTTAAAAATCCTTTTTCTTAAACTAATCAATCACTAAACTAGCCTATTTCAACCCAGTTTCCTGCAAGATTACCATGCACTACAATTCTAAATATAATCCACTGCCCACTCTGCTGAAATATACATATGTCTATATATACATTCCATTTTATAAAAAGAGAAAAGACAATAACTTTAAATTTATAATTCATTTAGTATGTAGAATGTAGATGTTTATGCTAGCCCTGCTTGTTGAAACAGAAAGGTCTTCAGGGCACGTCGGAAAGTGCGAAGATCTGGGATTATTCGTATTCCAGGGGGTATTTTGTTCCAAAGAGTAGGTGCCCCCACAGAGAAGGCTCTCTCCCTTGGAACTACTAGATGACATTGTTTTAATGATGGTACTATGAGTAGGCCTACTCTGTGAGAGCGTATTGGTTGGTGGGAGGTTATCGGTTGCAGCAGGTGGTCTAGTAAGTACTCAGGTCCTAAGCACTTTAAAGGTAAGAACCAACACCTTGAAGCGCACTCGGAAGGCCACCGGAAGCCAGTACAGCTCGCGTAGAAGAGGCGTTACATGTGAGCGCCATGTTGCTCCCATAATTACTCGCGCGGCCGCATTCTGGACCAGTTGGAGCTTCCGGGTGCACTTCAAGGGGAGCCCCATGTAGAGAGCATTGCAGTAGTCAAGTCGGGAAATGACGAGGGCTTGAGTGACTGTGCGTAATGAGTCCCGGTCTAGAAAGGGACGCAATTGGCGAATCAGGCGAACCTGATAGAAAGCTCCTCTGGCCACGGCTGTTATATGATCTTCTAAAGACAGTCGTGCATCCAGGAGGATGCCTAAATTGCGAGCTTTCTCTGCGGGGGTCAATGACTCGTCCCCAATACAATGAGAATATATCTGCTGAACAAAACTCGGCACTGGTGACAGGAAGGGCATCCGGCCAGTAAAACACTCTGCTAGCTCCATTTGGTTGCCCCGACTCCACCCCGCAAAGGATTATGGGGTCCTAAAAAGATGATGATGATGATGAGTCCTCATCTTACAACTGCAATTGAACCCCAAATTTCCATTCTGGAGCAAGACAGTTGTTTCTTGCCACAGTCGTTAAGTGAATTTAGGTTAGTAGTACAGTGGTTAAGTGACTTTGCTCGTCAGAACGTCGCAAAAGGAGATCGCATGACTCAGAGACACTGCAACCGTCATAAATACGAGCCAGTTGCAAGCGTCTGAATTTTGATCAGCTGACCATGGGGGGGATAAGGCGATTGTTTCAGGGCCGTTGTAACCTTAAACGGTCACTAAATGAGCCGTCGTAAGTCTAGGACTACCTGTCAATGAAATGAAAGGAATCAATAAAATAAAATAAAATAAAAATTAAATGTATGTGAAATCTTAATCTGTTCACCGCCCTGAGTCCTTCGGGAGAAGGACGGTATAGAAATTCAATAAATAAATAAATAATCATTGCTTTATTCAACAAATCACAGTTAAGCAAAGCGTGGTTTACTGTGACATGCAGGAGAAGCCTCTGTGGTTTGTTGGCTTCTTCGGAAACTTTTTCAGGAGGCAACTGGACTTCCTTGCTTTTTCTTTTGAAGACGTTTCGCTTCTCATCCAAGAAGCTTCTTCAGTTCTGACCGGATGGTGGGGAACGGAAGGATTTAGATTCCTTGCAGACAGCTGGTTATTTGCATCCTTTCAGGGAGTCGTTGAGGCCACTTGGAAGTTTTATCTATACAATTTGGGATGAACCCCCTTTGAATGGTGAGGGAGTAGGAACGGATTCCCAGAGAAAACAAAATTGCAGTCTAAGGAACCATTTACACTACTCAGGTGATCCTGAGGACACATACACACCTCCAAGTGGCCTCAACCAGTGGTGGGTTCCTCCCGGTTCGGTCCGGTTCGGCTGAGCCGGTAGCGGTGATGATATGACGTCACCGAACTGGTTCTCCCCCCCTGCCCTCCCACCCCCCACCCCCCACGTTATTCTTACCTTTTATTTGGCCCCATCCCCAATCTATTGCTGCCTCCTGAGTCCCAGCTGATGACTAGAGGGAAAAAAAACTGTTTAAACTGTTGCCGCGGGGCTTCAAAGGGCCGCCCTACAGCTGATCAGTGTTAAAAGCAAACAAATGAGTCGGGTCGTAAGTGCGAGGACTGGTCATAAGTGCGAGGACCTTCCAGAAATGACTCTGGCCAGCCAGCCACGCCCACCTAGTCACATGACCTCCAACCCACACCCACAAAATAAACCACGCCCACAGAACCGGTAGTAAAAAAATTTAGACCCCACCCCTGCCCTCAACGACCCTCTAAAAAGGATGCAGATGACCAGCTGTCTTCAAAGAGTATATAATCCTTCCATTCCCCACCATCCAGTCAGAGCTGAAGAAGCTTCTTGGATGAGAAGCGAAACGTCTTCAAAGAAAAAAAAAACTCCCAGAAAGTCCAGTTGCCTCTTGGAAAAAAGCCCCTTTGGGACAACCTGACCTGGAAGACGGAGAATCTCTACAGAGTTTTAGCTTGTTCTGAAAGCGCGAGGACGTCTGAATGGCCTCCTTAAGCTCTGTAAATGGATTTGGGTTGGATTATCTCGGATTATTATTTTAACGGAGAAGGCCACTGACGGTGACTTTGCTTTCAGGAGGCTCCTACGCTGCTGCCTTGACTCCAGGCGAGAGGAAGAACCGGAACAAAGGAACTCGCGCCCGGAAGAAAATATTTGAAGCCTACATGTCAAAGAAAGACGTCTCGGAAGGTCTGAAGAGAAAAACGCTGATCCAGGTGCGGGAAATGTTTGTGCGCGAAATGCAAAAGTTTTTGCGTGCAGAATTATTGTCTGAAAAAATCCAAATCTCTAAAAGCTGCTCCAGAAACTCTGAACTGGCAGATGGCGAAGTTACATTGGAATCTTAATATTTAGAATTCATCCCCGCAAGAAAATATTTATGGATTGATTGCACTGTATCCATACAAATAATTCTCGACTTAAGAACACAATTGAGCCCAAAATGTCTGCGGTTAAGTGAGGCGTTGGCCAAGTGAGTTTTGCCCCATTTTACGACCGCTCTTGCCACAGTGGTTAAGTGAACCATTCAGGTCGTTAAGGGAGTCACACGGTTGTTAAGTGAATCTGGCTGCCCCGTTGACTTTGCTTAGCAGCAGGGTTGCAAAAAGGGATGACGTGACCCTGGGACACTGCGACCGTCATAAATATGAACCAGTGGCCAAGCATCTGAATTTTGATCATATGACCACGGTGGATGCTGCAACGGTCGTTAAGTGTGAAAAATGGCCATAAGTCACCTTTTTTTTTCAGCGCCGCTGTAACTTTGAATACTCGCTAAATGAACTACTGGTACTTATTTATGGAGATTCTTAAGTAGGATTCCCAAATTAAAACAATTTCACAAAAGGGCAAAGCATTTTTATCTTTTAAAAAACCCGCTGAAATTTAAGCTGCTGGCCCAGAAAACAGGTGACTGGTCACTCGACGAATGGTTGTAAGCCGAGGACCGACTGAACACGGCTGTTGTGTTGTATTGTGTGTTGTGTTTTTAGTACTTCAGCCTGAACATGCCCAGATCCTTCAGCCTCCCCTCGGCCTCCAAGGGTGTCTGTCTCCATTTTTTTGGGAGGGAAGCGGTAACCGTTGCCCCTTTCCTGACAAATCTAGCAATCATTCGTGTGTGTGTGTGTGAAGGATTGCAAAGTTTATTTATTTATTTATTAATTGAATTTGTATACCGCCCTTCTCCCAAAAGGGACTCAGGGCGGTGGACAGCCAAAATTGAAATACATACAATACAAAAGTTAAGATAGCTAAAATAAATTAAATCCATCGGCCTCCCAATTTAAAACCCCAAGTCTATAAAATTTAAAAATTCCCATTAAAGTTGAGGGTGACATCATGAGATTCTGGGGAGAGAGAGAGAGAGAGAGAGAGAGAGAGAGAGAGAGTCCTGGCCCTCGATGCACAATGTGCCAACAGTTGTTCCCTGCAGATGGGGAGGACGGCTGGCTCCAGATATGACATCACAGCGTGAAAATGGGTAAATAGGATTAGAAGTCCCATCTGCTTTTGAAGACAGGAGATCAATCCTGTTCGTCTCTCTCTCTCTCTAGAAAAACACAAATGCAGAAAAGAATGTGAACCTTAATGTGCTAATTATTTGTTTAATTACTTGTTACCGTATTTTTTGGAGTAAAGGTAAAGATTCTCCCTCGCACGTATGTGCTAGTCGTTCCCGACTCTAGGGGGCGGTGCTCATCTCCGTTTCAAAGCCGAAGAGCCAGCGCTGTCCAAAGACGTCTCCGTGGTCATATGGCCGGCATGACTCAACGCCAAAGGTGCACGGAACGCTGTTTCCTTCCCACCAAAGGTGGTCCCTATTTTTTCTACTTGCATTTTTTACCTGCTTTCGAACTGCTAGAATATATAAGTAGAATATAAGTATTCGGAGTATGAGACGCACCTTCCCCCCCCTAAAAGTGGGTGAAAATTTAGGTGCGTCTTATAGACCGAATTAGGGATGCGGTGGCTCAGTGGCTAAGACGCTGAGCTTGTCGATCGAAAGGTCGGCAGTTCAGCAGTTCGAGTCCCTAGTGCCGCATAACGGGGGTGAGCTCCCGTGACTTGTCCCAGCTTCTGCCAACCTAGCAGTTCGAAAGCAGGTAAAAAATGCAACTAGAAAAATAGGGACCACCTTTGGTGGGAAGGGAACAGTGTCCCGTGCGCCTTTGGTGTTGAGCCATGCTGGCCACATGACCACGGAGACGTCTTCGGACAGCGCTGGCTCTTCGGCTTTGAAACGGAGATGAGCACTGCCCCCTAGAGTCAGGAACAAGTAGCACATATGTGCGAGGGGAACCTTTTATAGACTGAATATGGGAGTTTTTTGGCTCCCAAGCCCTCCGCGCATCGCATTTTTGCCCTCCCCGGCCCCCAAAAGCACTCGGCAGGCCAAAAATGGGCACATTCTTTGTGAAAACAGGCTGTGCAGAGGAATGCAGAGTCCTTTTGGGAGCCTGGGAGGGCGAAAACGTGATGCGCGGTGGCCAAAAACTATTTTTTTCTTGTTTTCCTCCTGTAAATTTAGGTCTTATAGTTTGAAAAATACGGTAATCGTTCTTCCTTCCCCCTTCCCCACCATCAAATAATGGCGAAGATAACCTTTTTTTACGGATGATTGTAATTGGATGGCCGGGGGTTATTATTTTATTATTTTTCCTTTTTATTATTATTTTTTATTTGCTTGTCAGAAGGTCGCAAAAGGGAATCACGCAGGGCTGGGCTGCTGGGGGTTCGCAAGGGTTCGGGAGAACCTCTAGCTAAGATTCTATGCAGTTCGGAGAACCCCAAAATCCCAGTCCTGGTTTGCCCCGCCCCGCCCACCCCGCCCCTCCCCTCCCAGGAGTCCCCAAGCAGCCCGTTTTGGTTGCAGGTAAGTGCAGGGTGAGTGCAGAGGCTCGGAGAGGGCGAAAAAAGGGTCTAGAGGGCCTCCGGAGCCTGGGGAGGCCGTTTTTGCCCTCCCAGAGGCTCAAGGAAAGCCTTTGGAGCCTGGGGAGGGCAAAAAACGGGCCTACCGGAAGTTCGGGAAGACCAGAAATGGGCCCGTTTCCGGCCTCCAGAGGGCCTCCGGTGCCTGGGGAGGCCATTTTTGCCCTCCCGGAGGCTCAAGGAAAGCCTCTGGAGCCCAGGGAGGGCAAAAATGCCCCCCCCCCCGGTGCAGGAGGCCGACTAGGCCACGCCCACCATGGCCACGCCCACCCAGCAACCAGGCAGAGAACCCCTTGCTAACATTTTTGAAGCCCACCTCTGGGATCACGTGACCTCGGGACCCAGCAAACGGTCATAAATTCGAACCAGTGGACAAGCGTCTGAATTTGCAGCGACTGCTGCGAAGGCGGTAACTTCGAAAAATGGTCGCAAGTCCCGTTTTTCGGTGCCGTTGTAACTTTGAACGGTCACTAAGCGAGCTCTGTTGTAAGTCGAGGACTACCTGTAGTAAGTTTTGCCTCACTAGGAAGAGGCCCGCTGATTTCTATCCAGGCTTACATTAAAGCGTCACATGAAAGCGTCTTCTTTGCTGAAATCTAATTTCAATGTTTCCCTTTTTTTTTCTCTCTCTCTCTCTTCAGGGACCCCTAAGGATAAACCCCAAGAAATACCACGATGCCTTCATTCCTTCTCCAGTGAGTAATCCTGTAAAGTCCAGCAATTGGGGAGGTCATGTGGGCTGAACATCCCTCTGCCTCTGGATTGATGGAGGGGCAAGAGATTAACAGATTAACAAATTAGGAAGGGACCCTGTAGGTCATCTAGTCCAACCCCCCTCTGCCCAAGCAGGAGACTCCCCACCATCCCCGACAGAGGGGAGTCCAGCCTCTTCCCGAAAGCCTCCAGGGATGAAGCCCCCACAACCTCCGAAGGCAACCTCTGCTCCACTGGCCGACCGTTCTCACCGTCACAAAATCTCCTCCCTACCTCCAGGTTGAATTTCTCCCTGATCTCTTTGCTGCCCTGGCCAACTTCACACGGGCAGACAGAGACGGGACTCCATCCACCGGTGGAAAATCACCCAGCCCTTCAGATAGATGGATTGATTGAGTGATAGATAGATTGATTGAGTGATCGACTGATGATAGATAGATTGACAGACCGAGCGTTCGATCGATCGACAGATGATCGATTGATAGATAAATTGAGTGATCGACCGATAGTTGATTGATAGATTGATCTGTCTTTGTCTATCTGACTATATCAGTCTATCATGGATGAATTGGACCTTCTCGGGGGTTTTTTTCCCCTTTGAAAAAACGTTTCGCTCCTCATCCAAGAAGCTTCTTCAGTTCTTTCTGAAGGAGCTTCTGAACTTGAAGGAGCTTCTTAGAATTAGAATACTTTCTGTGGCCAAATGTGATGAGACCAAGGCAGTCGTAGAATGGATCCCGCTTGATAAAAAAGCGTCAATGAAAGAGACTTAAAACAAGGTGGATGGACAACATCAGCAAGTATGGTGGGCCCAGTTGGCAAAAGAAAACCTCAGGACTGTAATGGGTTGGAAACATGCAGAAGAGGCCTTCATCAGGCAGTAGAAGAAGAAGAAAGAAGAAAGAGGAGGAGGAAAGGAGAAGGAGAGGAGGAGAGGAGAAGAAGGAGGGAGAGGAGGGAGAAGAAGGAGGAAAGAAGAAGAGGAAGAGGAGAAGGAGAGGACAAAACGGAAGGAGGAAGAAGGAGAAGAAGAAGGAGAAGGAGGGAGAAGAGGGCGGAGGAGAGGGAGAAGGAGGAGGAAAGAAGAGGAAGAGAAGGAGAGGAGAAGAGAAGAAAGAGAGAAGGAGAAGGAGAAGAGGAGGAGAAGAAGAAGGAAAGATGAAGAGGAGGAGAGGAGGAGAAGAAGGAGGGAGAGGGAGGAGAGGGAGAAGAAGGAAAAGATAAAGAGCGGAGGAGGAAAGAAGAGGAGAAGGAGAAGAAAAGGAAGGAGGGAGAAGGAGAAGAAGAAAAGGAGAAGGAAAGAAAGAAAGGAGAAGGAAAGAAGGAGAAGAAGGAGGGAGAAGGAGAAGGAGAGGAAGGAGAAGGAAAAGATGAAGAGGAGGAGGAGGAGGAAAGGAGAGGGGGAGAAGGGGAGGAGAAGGAAAGAAGGAGAGGAGCAGAAGAAGGAGGGAGAGGAGGGAGAAGGAGAGGGAGAAGAAAGAAAAGATGAAGAGGAGGAAAGAAGAGAAGGAGAAGAGAAAAAGGAAGGAGGGAAAAGGAGAGGAGGAGGAGGAGGAAAGAAGGAGAGGGAGAAGAAGGAGGGAGAGGGAGAAGAAGGAGAAGATGAAGAGGAGGAGGAGGAAAGAAGAAGAGGAAGAGGAGAAAGAGAAGAGAAAAAGGAAGGAAGGAGAAGGGAGAAGGAGAAGTTATGGTTAGACATGCAAGGAATTTGGATGTCAGTGTACATCCAAAACAACAGATTAGTAATAACAACAACAACAATGGCATTAGGAGAAGGTAGTGAAACAGATGAGAGAAGGATAATAGTAGTACAGCCATGCAATGTGGGTAAATATACTTAAGACATAAACCAATATTGTGAGGATTAGGTGTTCAGCAGAGTGATGGCACGAGGGGGGGGAAAAAAACCACGGTCTTTGTGTCTAGTTGTTTTGGCATGGAGGGCCCTGTAGCACCGTCCCGAGGGGAGGAGTTGGACCAGTTTATGTCCAGGATGTGAAGGGTCTGTAGATATTTCCTCAACCCTCCTTCTGACCCCACATAACCTATAGGTCTTCTGTGGAAGGGCAGGCTGGTTGCAATTGAAGAAGCTTCTTGGATGATGAGGGAAACTTCCCCCCCCCCCAGGAAAAACACTCAGAAAGTCCAGTTGTCGTTCGGAAAAGCACCATGAATGGGCAATGTTTCAATATCTGAGGGGCTGCCACAAAGAAGAGTGGGGGGGGGGGGGGAGGTTTCAACCTATTTTCCAAAGCACCAAAAGAAACCCTCCTCTGCTGGGAATGAAGGGCCTCCGTAAGTGGCTTTTATCCTTCCTTTGAACCGTGACTCAGAAAACGTCTTAAAGTCGCCAGGTTGAGAAACACTCAGAGCCACCGAGAGCCGTGGTTAATAATGAGGGCAAAATAACTTCTCTGAGTGTGTCCTTAGAATAACCGAGTTGGAAGGGACCTTGGAGGTCCTCTAGTCCAATCCCCTGCTCAGGTAGGAGACCTTATACCAGTGATGGCTAACCTTTTTGCCGTCGCGGGCCAAAAACGGGGGGAGTGCGGGCAGGTCGCGCGTGTGGTGCCCACACCCATCATTCAATACCCCCACACACATGTGTACGTGACCCCCCCTGCGTTCCCCCCACTTTTGGCATGCAGTGACACGGTGGGCCCGGTAGGTCCGTTTTTCGCCCTCCCCAGGCTCCAGAGGCTTTCTTGGAGCCTGGGGAGGGCAAAAACAGCCTTCCCCACCCCCTCGGAGGCCCTCTGGAGGCCAGAAACAGCCCGTTTTCTGACTTCCGGTGGGCCCGGAAGGCCCAAAAATCAACTGGCTGGTGTGTGCATGTGCGCTGGAGCTGAGCTAGGGCAACGCTTGCGTGCCTACAGGTTTGCCATCACGGCCCTATACCATTCCACACAATGGTTGACAATATCCATCCCTCCATCCACACATCCATCCATTCATCCTTCTGTCTGCTACGTATCTTATTTATCTATCTCAGAATTATAGAATCACAGGCAGGAACTTTGGAGGACTTCTAGTCCAACCCCCTCCTCAAAAGGAGACCCTATACCAGGGGTGAAATCCAGCAGGTTCTGACAGGTTCTGGAGAACCGGTAGCGGAAATTTTGAGTAGTTCGGAGAACCGGCAAATACCACCTCTGGCCGGTCTCAGAGTTCGATGGGAATGGAGATTTAGCAATATCCTTCCCCAGGAGTGGGGTGGGAATGGAGATTTTGCAATATCCTTCCCCTGGAGTGGGGTGGGAATGGGGATTTTGCAATATCCTTCCCCTGGAGTGGGGAGGGAATGGGGATTTTGCAGTATCCTTCCCCTGGAGTTGGGAGGGAATGGGGATTTTGCAGTATCCTTCCCCTGGAGTGGGGAGGGAATGGAGATTTTGCAATATCTTTCCCCTGGAGTGGGGTGGGAATGGAGATTTCGCAATATCCTTCCCCTGGAGTGGGGAGGGAATGGGGATTTTGCAGTGTCCTTCCCCTGGAGTGGGGTGGGAAAGGGGATTTTGCAGTATCCTTCCCCTGGAGTGGTGTGGGAATGGGGATTTTGCAGTATCCTTCCCCTGGAGTGGGGTGGGAATGGGGATTTCGCAATATCCTTCCCCTGGAGTGGGGTGGGAATGGGGATTTTGCAGTATCCTTCCCCTGGAGTGGGGAGGGAATGGGGATTTTGCAGTATCCTTCCCCTGGAGTTGGGAGGGAATGGGGATTTTGCAGTATCCTTCCCCTGGAGTGGGGAGGGAATGGAGATTTTGCAATATCTTTCCCCTGGAGTGGGGTGGGAATGGAGATTTCGCAATATCCTTCCCCTGGAGTGGGGAGGGAATGGGGATTTTGCAGTGTCCTTCCCCTGGAGTGGGGTGGGAAAGGGGATTTTGCAGTATCCTTCCCCTGGAGTGGTGTGGGAATGGGGATTTTGCAGTATCCTTCCCCTGGAGTGGGGTGGGAATGGGGATTTTGCAATATCCTTCCCCTGGAGTGGGGTGGGAATGGAGATTTTGCAATATCCTTCCCCTGGAGTGGAGTGGGAAAGGGGATTTTGCAGTATCCTTCCCCTGGAGTGGTGTGGGAATGGGGATTTTGAAGTATCCTTCCCCTGGAGTGGTGTGGGAATGGGGATTTTGCAGTATCCTTCCCCTGGAGTGGGGTGGGAATGGGGATTTCGCAATATCCTTCCCCTGGAGTGGGGTGGGAATGGGGATTTTGCAGTATCCTTTCCCTGCCACGCCCACCAAGCCACGCCACGCCCACCAAGCCACGCCCACAGAACCGGTAGTAAAAAAAAATTGAATTTCACAAACTGCTGACCAGCCTCTGCTTAAAAACCTCCCCTGTTGAAGCACCCACAACATTCCGGAGGCAATCCGTTCCATTGATGGGTTTGCTCTGTCATTCAGTGTCCCTTTGGGAGAAACCCCAGGAAAGTTTGTGGCAAGATTCAGATTTTTTTTTCCCCCCCCACCTCTGGTGGGACAAGAAAACCAAGGGAGAGAACTTCAGGGAAACAACCTCATTGTGTTTTGAGGAGTGGGCTTTTTGCAGAGTGGGCTTCGGCCCTTTCAGGCTTTGATGGCTTCAGGTGTTTTGGAGGGAAGCACAGCGAGTGCTGATGTTCCCGAAGGGCAAGGATCGTTGTGCACTGCACACCAGGGTGGATTTGATTTAAATCGAGTTGATTTAAATCACAATTTAAATCATGATTTAAATGACTAGTAAAAAGGCTTGATTTAAATCAACTCGATTTAAATCACAATTTTTAAAGAGCAACTGTCATCTCTGATGCTCCTTTGACCCGCTGTTGACTCACCGATAGTCCCAGTGTTGCAGAATACACAGCCTCCTGCTACATAACTCAGCTCCATTTCAGGCTGAATAAACTAAATTATTTATGTATCTTAAATAGAAAGCTATCTTACGACAGATTTTTACCCTGTTTTTTATTAAAATAAATTCGATAAAAATCAAAAAAATC